TTCAACATACGAAAATCAATAAACGTAATAAACCACATTAACAGAAGCAAAGACAAAAACCACTTGATCATCTCAATAGATGCAGAAAAAGCCTTTGATAAGATCCAACACCATTTCATGATAAAAGCTCTAAGAAAACTAGGAATAGAAAGAAAAACCTCAACATTATAAAAGCTATATATGACAAACCTACAGCCAGCATTATACTTAATGGAGAAAAACTGAAACCATTCCCTCTAAAATCAGGAACCAGACAAGGATGCCCACTATCTCCACTCCTATTCAACATAGTACTGGAATTCCTAGTCAGAGCAATTAGGCAAGAAGAAGGAATAAAAGGAATACAAATAGGTAAAGAAACTGTCAAAATATCCCTATTTGCAGATGACATGATCCTATACCTTAAAGACCCAAAAAACTCTACTCAGAAGCTTCTAGACATCATCAATAGCTATAGCAAGGTAGCAGGATATAAAATCAACATAGAAAAATCATTAGCATTTCTATACACTAACAATGAACAAACTGAAAAAGAATGTATGAAAACAATTCCATTTACAATAGCCTCAAAAAAAATCAAATACCTAGGTGTAAACCTAACAAAAGATGTGAAAGACCTCTACAAGGAAAACTATACACTTCTGAAGAAAGAGATTGAGGAAGACTATAGAAAGTGGAGAGATCTCCCATGCTCATGGATTGGTAGAATCAACATAGTAAAAATGTCGATACTCCCAAAAGTAATCTACATGTTTAATGCAATTCCCATCAAAATTCCAATGACATTCATTAAAGAGATTGAAAAATCTACCATGAAATTTATATGGAAACACAAGAGGCCACGAATAGCCAAGGCAATACTCAGTCAAAAGAACAATGCAGGAGGTATCACGATACCTGACTTCAAACTATATTACAAAGCAATAACAATAAAAACAGCATGGTACTGGCACAAAAACAGACATGAAGACCAGTGGAACAGAATAGAGGACCCAGATATGAAGCCACACAACTATAACCAACTTGTCTTTGACAAAGGAGCTAAAAATATACGATGGAAAATAGCAGCCTCTTCAACAAAAACTGCTGGGAAAACTGGTTAGCAGTCTGCAAAAAACTGAAACTAGATCCATGTATATCACCCTATACCAAGATTAACTCAAAATGGATCAAGGATCTTAATATCAGACCCAAACTCTAAAGTTGATACAGGAAAGAGTAGGAAATACTCTGGAGTTAGTAGGTATAGGTAAGAACTTTCTCAATGAAACCCCAGCAGCACAGCAACTAAGAGATAACATAGATAAATGGGACCTCATAAAACTAAAAAGCTTCTGTTCATCAAAAGAAATGGTCTCTAAACTGAAGAGAACACCCACAGAGTGGGAGAAAATATTTGCCAGCTATACATCAGACAAAGGACTGATAACCAGAATATATAGGGAACTTAAAAAACTAAATTCTCCCAAAACTGAACCAATAAAGAAATGGGCAAGTGAACTAAACAGAACTTTCTCAAAAGAAAAATTCAAATGGCCAAAAACACATGAAAAAATGCTCACCATCTCTAGCAATAAAGGAAATGCAAATTAAAACCACACTAAGATTCCACCTCACCCCTGTTAGAATAGCCATCATCAGCAACACCACCAACAACAGGTGTTGGCGAGGATGCGGGGAAAAAGGAACCCTCTTACACTGTTGGTGGGAATGTAAACTAGTACAACCACTCTGGAAAAAAATTTGGAGGCTACTTAAAAAGCTAGACATTGATCTACCATTTGATCCAGCAATACCACTCTTGGGGATATACCCAAAGACTGTGACACAGGTTACTCCAGAGGCACCTGCACACCCATGTTTATTGCGGCACTATTCACAATAGCCAAGTTATGGAAACAGCCAAGATGCCCCACACTGACGAATGGATTAAGAAAATGTGGTATCTATACACAATGGAATTTTATGCAGCCATGAAGAAGAATGAAATGTTATCATTACCTGGTAAATGGATGGAATTGGAGAACATCATTCTGAGTGAGGTTAGCCTGGCCCAAAAGACCAAAAATCGTATGTTCTCCCTCATATGTGGACATTAGATCAAGGGCAAACACAACAAGGGGATTGGACTTTGAGCACATGATAAAAGCGAGAGCACATAAGGGAGGGGTGAGGATAGGTAAGACACCTAAAAAACTAGCTAGCATTTGTTGCCCTTAACGCAGAGAAACTAAAGCAGATACCTTAAAGCAACTGAGGCCAATAGGAAAAGGGCCCAGGAACTAGAGAAAAGGTTAGATCAAAAAGAATTAACCTAGAAGGTAACACACACGCACAGAAAATCAATGTGAGTCAATGCCCTGTATAGCTATCCTTATCTCAACCAGCAAAAACCCTTGTTCCTTCTTATTATTGCTTATACTCTCTCTACAACAAAATTAGAAATAAGGGCAAAATAGTTTCTGCCGGGTATTGGGGGTGGGGGGGAGGGGGGGGGAGTGGGTGTAAGGGAGGGGTGGGGCAGGGGGGAGAAATGACCCAAGCCTTGTATGCACATATGAATAATAAAAAAAAAAAAAAGAAAAATTGTTAAAATCTTCCTCAAGTCAAATATTAAATCCAAATATAAAAATAATGATAAAACTCTTTGCCTATAAATAAATAAGTTTTTTTAAATTTTTTGGTAATTCTTATTTTAATTGTACGTATTTGGGGGTCCAGTGTGATAATTTGATTGTATAAACAATGTGGAATGATGAAATCAGAATAGGTAGCAGCTCCTTCTTAAATTTTTTTTAGTGTTTGATTAACGTCAAATAATTGAACATATTTATGAAGTACAGTGTGATAGCTCAGGGTATACACCTAATGCATACTGATCAAATCGTGGAAACATGTTTCATTACTTTAGGTTAGCAATATATTTTATATGTTTTATACAGAGTATTAAAAATACGGGAGAATCTGCCTTCTGATCAGTTGTTTCTTCTACTTCTATCAAAATATTTAAAACGAAACTTTTATAATAAAGAATTATGAAGTTTTCTATCACTCTCCCTGTTCAATTTTAACCTAGCCTTAAACTCAGAAACTCTGCCCCATGCAAACTTCCCCAATTAGGATGAGGTGTTTCATCCTGGGAATCCTTGAATCCTTGAGTCTTTCCACCTTTCAAGCACAATTCATTAGCACCTGAGAACAATTAACATACTGAGCACTGTGCTAAGCTGACAAAGGCAACCAAAGACCCACATACAGTAGCCCCTAAATGTCCACAGGGACTGGTTCCCAGATCTTCAGCAGATATCAATATCCACAGACACCCAAGGACCTCGTATAAACCAGTGGGAAGTTTGCATAAGACATATACACATCCTCCCTTGTACTTAAATCATATCCATATTACCTACAATGGCGTAGACAATGTAAATGCTATGGAAATCATCGTCGCACTGTACTAAGGAATAATGACAAGCAAGAAGAGCCTATTCACATTTGGTACTACATTTCCAAAATGTACTTGGTTGAATCCATGATGCAGCACCTGTGGATACAGAGGCCAACTGCACAGGGCATATCCCTGCTCAAAAGTCTCCAGAAGAAAACAGACTACGTAACTAATCTCATTCTCATTTCACTATATACATGTTTGGAAAGACTGTCATGGGAACATAGAAGACAGACAAAGGGTTCAAAAAGAAGGGGCAAATGTATTCTGATATGTAACAAGAATTCACGGATCTTATAGGAATAGGAGTAGGACAAAGCCGTTGTAGAAAGAGAAAATGTAGACAAAGTAATAAACAAACAGCAAAAACCAGCCATAAAAGTGATGGTACCGAGTGCCCCTTGCCCTGTGTACATGAAGTGCAAGTAGGTAGGGGGATCCTAGGGACATGGGCCCTTAAGGGGAAGATTTAGGGATGTTCTCTTTCATGACAATCTATCCTGTTATGCCAAAAACTAAAGAACACTTCTGTGAATATACACAGAAATGCAAGAAAAAGATAAAAACTTTGCTATTAACTCTAAGTAAATTTGGAAGATAATACCAAAGGAACAGAATCACCTGCACTTTTGCCTATAAAATTCTATTTTATTATAAAATTTGATCCACAAATTTTTGAAAATAAACTCAAAAATGCTGCATAAGCCATTGTAGGATTTACTTTGTGCTTGTAAGGAAAAAGAAAGAAAAAAAGAAAATACCTCCACGTGACATTTTTACTGGCCCTCAGATAAAAGAGGCATCTCTGCACCTTCACAGAGGAACCCTGAGGAAGGGAGGGAGGGGACAGTTCCTACACTGGGCAAGGCCACATAAGGCCAAATCCTGGCAGACAAGTTACAGGCCCCAACTAGTCATTCACTAACCAGGTGCCACGGGGTATGTTAATCACCTTCTCCCCTACAAAAGGAAAATCTAGCACCCATCATGTTCGAGTTGTGTAAAATGAAATCATAAAGTTCAATTGCAATGCATTCAAAAGAGGTTATTCCTTACAGCAATTTCAATGTAAGAGGTACATATAGTACGAAATACAACTGAGAAAAGGCAAGAAGAGATGAGGGTGAAGCTGCAAAGGTCATGAGTACCCTAGAAAATTCCAGACAAAATCTGGGATGTGTCAAGAACACATGTCCTTCAAATAGCTTTGTGCAGTTATCCAATAACCGACAATCTTACCCGTGGTTTTCCATCATTTGCTCCTGATAAATACTTTTAAAGGCTCTAAAATGATACTGTATTATATTTCTGTACTGTTCTATACTATGATTTCTTGCAAGTAACTTCTAGGTGATCAAATATAGATAGCTGTGTCCCCAAAACCAACTGACATTTGCATTTATTAGTACTTTCAAATACACTCAGCTCTTCAGCCATCATCACAACACTCATTGATAACTATTCTTAGTAAATCTCTCCATGATCCCTCTGCTAACATTTGTCTGGCTTCCTGCAAATGTCACCCTTACCAAATTCCCAAAGAGGTTCTCACCTGCCCAAGCTCTTCATTAAGGTTTGATGTCCTTGCCATTGCAGGAGTGTCATTTCCCATGTAGTACATATCTGTGTCCTGAGAGAGAGAGAGAGAGAGCGCTTTAGAAAATATGTACCACTAATACTTTTTAAAGATTAACACAGAAGTTAAGGACAGGCTTCTTGCATTTTAATACAAATGACAATTTGTAATTTGGGGTAAAATAAAGTTGCAGTCAGGATAGGGAAGCCCTTGAGGCAAGAGGAAACATGTATTTCACATCCAGAAGATTTGGTTTCAAGCTGGTCATTTCATGACTTAGAGTAACTCATGACTCTGAGCTCACTGGTGTCCCATGCACAGGATGGCTGTGAAGATGAGACTGAAATGCACACACACATGAAAGGCCTGGGCTGCAAATGCCACTACCAACATCACTGCTGAAAGGCTGCAGTGGTCTCGTAAAAATCCCACCTCCACCTTCCAACTGAGTGCAAGTTCACTGTCACAGTAGCTTTTGAGACAGAATGGACATGACAGGAGCAGGCCTAAGAGGTCTTTTCCTTAGCACTAATGAGACTATAAAGGCATCCACAGCAGTAGCAGCCAGGTGACATCTCATTCTCCACCTTAGTCTTCACCACAGACCTGGAGTGATACACTGCACTCCCCGTACTCCCTGCCTCCCGGGTCCTCAGCATCCCTTGCCAGTTCTCTGTTTTGCTAGCTCAGTCCCCCAACCTAATAACAAATGGTCTCTATTCTTCCTTTTCTGGGTGCACAACTAAACAGCAAAGGCGCTGAGAGCACTAACAGCAGGGTGGGCCTTTCTCCAGCAGTCCAACTTTTCAAGTGTTTCAAGACTCACCCAGTTGATAAAAAGGGCTTGAGTGTACTTCACGACCTCAAGGGTTACCAGCAGACTGATGGGTATAAGGTTGTTGTACAAGATGATGAACGTCAACAGGTTGTACCCAAAATTATCCGAGCTTGTATCTACAAAGAAAACCAGGATATCCATATGGTTTTACTTATAGTATCCATTCACTTTCTTTTAACTCAGTTATTTTGGATTTTTTTCTAAAAAATGTTCACTACAAAAGCCTATTGGCTAGTTTAGAGAGTCAATTTAAAAAAGCTATGTGTGGGGAACTATGAGTACAAAGACCATTCAGATACAGTCCCTGCAGACAGACTGACTTCTCTTTGGAGGCTGTAGGAGAGGAGAGGGAACAGAAACAGGATGCCCCTTTGTCTGGCTGTACGGTGGACACAGCTTCTACAGAAGAGTTCATGGGACATTACAGGAAAGAAAACAGGAGGGTTTTTAGTGGGAAGGCAGAAGGCTATGACTGGAGATTAGGAATTTGTAATGGCTCCAAACTAGGTCTTGAACTTTCATCAAGAAAGCATGTCAAATGGTAGTTTGAGTCACACTTAAGAGTTTCAGAGGGTGGTTGTGATGGAAAGACAAGGCACTGGGCTTGGTGGAAGAGGCACTGGCTCTTCCACCATCCTTTCATGAGTGTGTGTGTGTGTGTGTTAGTGGGGTTTGAACTCAGGGCCTCATACGTACTAGGCAAGCACTATACCTACCACTTGAATCATCCCCCCAGCCCCACTGTTTGTGTATTTTGTTTTTAAAATAATGTCTCACTGCAATCAAGAGTCTCCCCAAAAAGAAAAGACCAGGACCTGATGGATTCTCTGCTGAATTCTATCAGACCTTTAAAGAAGAACTGATACCAACCCTCCTTAAACTGTTCCACAAAATAGAAAGGGAAGGAAAACTGACAAACACATTTTATGAAGCCAGTATTACACTTATCCCAAAACCAGGCAAAGACACCTCCAAAAAGGAGAACTATAGGCCAATCTCCTTAATGAACATTGATGCAAAAATCCTCAACAAAATAATGGCAAACCGAATTCAACAACACATCAAAAAGATTATTCACCACGACCAAGTAGCTTCATCCCAGGATGCAGGGGTGGTTCAACTACGAAAATCAAAAACGTAATAAACCACATTAACAGAAGCAAAGACAAAAACCACTTGATCATCTCAATAGATGCAGGAAAAGCCTTGATAAGATCCAAAACACCATTTCATGATAAAAGCTCTAAGAAAACTAGGAATAGAAGGAAGTTCCTCAACATTATAAAAGCTATATATGACAAACTACAGCCAGCATTATACTTAATGGAGAAAAAACTGAAACCATTCCCTCTAAAATCAGGAACCAGACAAGGATACCACTATCTCCACTCCTATTCAACATAGTACTGGAATTCCTAGCCAGAGCAATTAGCAAAGAAAGAAGAATAAAAGGAATACAAATAGGTAAAGAAACTGTCAAAATATCCCTATTTGCAGCTTCTGTTCATCAAAAGAAGTGGTCTCTAGGGGGAGGATAGGTAAGACACCTAAAAAACTAGCTAGCATTTGTTGCCCTTAACGCAGAGAAACTAAAGCAGATACCTTAAAAGCAACTGAGGCCAACAGGAAAAGGGGACCAGGATCTAGAGAAAAGGTTAGATCAAAAAGAATTAACCTAGAAGGCAACACACACGTACAGGAAATTAATGTGAGTCAACTCCCTGTATAGCTATCCTTATCTCAACCAGGAACACTTGTTCCTTGTTATTATTGCCTATACTCTCTCTTCAACAAAATTAGAGATAAGGGCAAAATAGTTTATGCTGGGTGTTGAGGGGTTGGGGGGAGAGGTAGGGGCGGAGTGGGTGGTAAGGGATGGGGTAGGGGCAGGGGGGAGAAATGACCCAAGCCTTGTATGCTCATATGAACAATAAAACAATAAAAAAATAATAATAATGTCTCACTAACTTTGCCCTGGCTGGTCTGGAGCTCATAATCCTCCTGCCTCCACCTCACATTTCATTTTCTGCTTACTACCAAGCCTTCCACTTCTCTGGGCAACATACTGCTTTGCTCTCTGGTTCCTCTAGAGAACTAAGGAGTTGCTACATAAGATCTCTATATCCCAACAGCTATAGATGCCCCAAAAGTACAGCATTTGTTTAGAAACAAGTATCTGCCTGACAATAAAGCCGTATATGAAGAAAATAAATTTTCTGGTTTCAAATACTACTGAGCCAAAAAATGCTTTATATCACTGTACATAGTATAAGAAAGTATTTTCAGGGAAAACCTAAACCTAAAGCCCAAGAAACCCTAGAATGTTCTGTGTCAAAGCCAATAACCAGGAGAGGTCATAAAAGAAGAAAAGAGAATCTCCGCTCATATGTAAAAAACTCCAGCCAGATAAAAATAATCAAAAGAACATGAAGAATCACATTTGAAGCAGCACACACAACACAGTCCAAATCCAAATTTTAAGAACCAAAACCGAGAGAGTCTAATGTAGTTGCAACTGAAGTGCCAGTCAGATTTCCCACATTTGTAAAGCAAGAACAAGTGTTCTCCTGTTCAGTTCAGAATGTGAGTTTTCCATATGAAATAACTAGAAAGGTTTAAAAAAAAAGTTAAACAGCTTAACCAAAGAAATTAAAAGATGAGAATAACAATGACCCCAAGGAAATACCCTAAAGTTTAAAATTTAAGCTTATCATTAAATTTTTGTCATTAAATTCTACTTCTTTTCTGGAACTTCTATGTAAAGAGACTGGCAGATCTTATCCCCTCCAAAAAAACAGCAGGAAAGCTGGACAAAAATGATTAAGAACAACTTTATAAAGTCTCTGGAAATGGATCAGAGAGCATAGAAAATTCAAAAGCATGTATTTGAGAAATCTGCTGAGTCTTTTGAGAACAGTGGAAGCCCTGGCATGAAAGCCAGAGGCTATTCCTCCACCACTGCCCATATCACAGACCCAGGGTGCTTAAGTTCTACTCTGGGTGCGGACAGGGGTAAACCAGGAGAGCTGCAGCTCCCATCCTCCCTACCCCGGCTCCAGAATGCAGGGATGCTATCCCACAGTACAGAGACTACTACCTCAGAGTAGCTCAGGCTATCAGGACAGGAACATTCTCAGGGAACTCATACTATTTGGATGGAGTATAATAAAAGTTACCATGCCCAGGAAACTATAAAAAAGAGAGTTCCCATTGGCTCACAATCGGGAAAGGTAAATATCTCCATGATACAATAGGGAGAAACAGCAAACCATCTAGAAATGTAATAGGGGTGCTCATGGAAAGATGTGGCCAAAAAAGCCTCACTAAGAGCACATTCACAGGCCAGGCAGTCTTGCCCACATGCAATCTGCACCATCTCAGTGGGGACTAGAGAAGGTACCCGTATGCTATTAGGTTTTGCCTGAATGTGGGGTCACACTTTAATCTACCCAAACATGAAAGGCCTGCCTCAAAACACCCACAGACCACAAAGGACATGCTCCCTATGGCCTTGAGGGGCCTATGTTTGACCTCTGACCAATCACTGGCTGACCTCCAAGCTCTACAGGCCCAGAAGGATCTGACTTCAAAACAAGGTGAGGACTTGCTGGTGGTGGGGACGTGGTTCCTTTCTAAGGTGACAGAAACGTTCTGAAGTTAGGTAGCAGTGAGAGTTGCACAAAACTATTAACGAGCTAAAAAACACTACACATTTTAAACTATGCACTTAAAAAGAAGTAAAAACAAGGAAATAAAACTGAGACATAACATCAGAAACTATCTAGTACAAGAGAAAACAACAGACTTACAAAATTCATCCAGAGGAGTCACTAAACAAACAGAAAATAACAACAAGCCCTAGAAGGAAAAGGAAATCAGAATCTAGAGTGCTGTAGTATATTATCTAAAATGGCCAGTTATCAACCACAAGAAAATTAGGGACTTAAAAAAAGAAGGTGGGAGAGGGGGGCAGGACCTGCTTTTGAGGGGAACCCAGATAAGGAACCTGGCAAAAACATATTCAAAGACAGAAAGAAACTGAAGAATTGAAGAAAAGTATGATGATGATGGCAACTCAAAATAAGAATATCAATAAACAGAAGTTTTTTCCTCTATAAAAAAGAACCAAATGCAAATTCTGGAGTTAAAAATACAGTAAGTGAACTGAAAAAGTCACTAGTGAAGCTCAACAGGATATTTGAGTTGGCAGAAGATATCAAATAAGTAAACTTGAAGAGAGACCAACACATTATCCAATCTAAAGAACAGAAAGACCACAGAATAAAGAAAGATTAACAGAGCCTCAGAAACCTGTAGGACACAAGAACTATACAAACACACACATAATGAAGTACAAAAAGGAAAGATGACTGAGAATGTGACAGAAACGGTATCTGAATAATACCCAAACCACTCCCCCGAATTTGATGAAAAATGTTAATCTATATACCCAAGAAGCTCAACAAAGTCCAAACAAAATAAACATAAAACTATTTGAAAATGCAACAAAATAAACATAAAAAGTATTAGAAAACCAAACAAAATAAATATGAAAGTATGAAAACCAAAAGCAATGTACTGAAAGCGGCTATAGAAAAATGACTCACATACAAACAATAAAAACCCAAAAGATTAATGACAGACTTCTCAGTAAGAAGTCAGAAGGAAGTAGGAAATCACAAAGAACTAACGCAAAAAGAATGTCAATCAGAATTCTTTGTCCAGCAAACCTTCCCTCAAAAACAAAGGAAAAATTAGGATTCCAAGATAAAAACTGAGGTAACTTGTTGCCAGCCAACCTGCCTCCCAAGAAATATTAAAGGAAGTTCACAAGAATGAAAGAAATGACACATGACATTAAAAAGTCCATGTTTTAGGGCTGGAGGAGTGGCTCAAGTGGTAGAGCACCTGCCTAGCAAGCATATTCAAATCCTAGTACCACCAAAAAGAAAAAGAGAGAAAAGAAAAATCTACATTTTTTTAAAAATCCACATCTAAAAAAAAGGAAAGCTAATGATGTGACTCAGAGATAGAGCACTTGCCTAGCATGTGGTGGTCCTGGGTTTGATCCCCAGCACAAAAAGAAGGAGAGGAGGGATCATAAACAGAAGGAGAAAGAGGAGGAAGAGAAGAGAGTGAAGGGAAGGAGAAGGGGGAAGAGGAAGAGGGGAGGAGAGGAAGGGGAAGGAAAAGAGGAGGAGAAAAAGAAAACAAAAGGCACCAGTAAAGAAACTTATATTAGATATTTATAACAGATAGTAGAATTGCATATTTTATCTTGTCTCCTTCATTAAAGAAATTATAAAATATCTTTATAAAGTTTTGTTGTTGGCATTACATGCAGATGTTATACATACAGCCATACAAAGAGGTGAGGCAACAATAAAGATAAAGAAATTATATCAGCTGGTAACTTATTCACAGGAACAAATGAAGGGTACCAGAAATGGAAAACAGGTAGAGTAATATAAAATAATTTCATAAATACATTTTTTCTTTTAGCTTCTTTAAGAAACATGAGATTATAACAGATAGATGTAATATATATGACAATAACAGCACAAGCAGAGGAGGGAGTGGAAATATACTGGAGTGATGTGTCTGCACTGCACTGAATTAAGTTAGTATCAACCCAAACTGGATTTTCACATTGTAATTCCTAGAGCAACAACAAGGACCTTTAGTAATACCTTAAAAACTGTCATTTGAGTAAAAAACAATTCCAACTGTGCTCATCTCATGATTCCTACTCTGTCAATTCTTAAAAGCTTGGCATTTTGTACAGTAGCCAAAGGGAGCAGAAGGATGGCAAGGCTACCACTCACAGATCACTCATGGAATGACCTTTCATGGGTCATTCTATTTCAACAGGTGACAACCCTCCCCAACACTTACCCATTTTCTTGATGTACCAGTTCTTTCCACCATGCGACCCATTCCAGTACAGGGCCCCCACCGAGCTCACCAAAGCCATGACCAGGAGAATGCCAAATAACACCAGGATCTGTACATTGGTCACCTTCTCAACATTGGATCTCTTGAGAGGTGCTTTGGTAGAATTCTGTCAAACAGTGTTTAAAGTCAGTAAGGAGCAAACGGGAGAGACAAAAGGAAGTAAGACAACTAAATTTGGCCATGGAAAAGTAAAAGACTATTTCTCTTCCAAATAATCAATGAAATTAAAAAGTGTATTGTGCTCTGGAATCAAGTTTAAAGAATACATTCCAACTCTACATGACACATTACTTCTCATGATTACATCTTAACATAAAATTAGTCATTTTCATTGTAGAATGCAATAACTGCTAAATAATTTAAGACCAGTTTAAAAGAAATCACAATACTGCTAATTTGAGAGAAACTGGGAGACTGTATACAATAAAAATCTAAATAGAACCTTTAAAGTAATAACATGGCTCTATAATAAACACAGGAAGAGAGATTTTAAAGTATTCACTTATCTTCCAGTAGCTCAAACTCTGAGGGAAAAAAAGACAGACATGTACATTGATAATGCAAAACAGAACACAGGTGTCAAAAATAAACGAATGGACAAGAGGTTCACTTGGAGAACTGTGAGTAAGAAATAAGCAGAAAGGGTTTCATGGATAGGAGAAATCAAGTCACAAGCAGAATGAAGACAGGTAGGTGAAAGAAAAAAGCAAGTCTTACACTGGTAGGGAAACCAGCCCAGCTGGAGCTGAGGCCACCTGTTTGGGGATAGATATAAGATAATTTGGCAAGACTAGACTCAAGTAACTCACTACATCCTCTGAGCAGAAGAAAAGTCAATGGAAGAGCTTCAACAAGACAGTTGTGTACCTAAAGCCATTTTATAAATATAAAAAAATCTGAAGATAGTTTTGATGGACAGAATAAATATCTTTAAAAATATATACCTGCCCAGCTGGAGCTCAGACCACGTGTTTGGGGATAGATATAAGATAATTTGGTAAGACTGGACTCAAGTAACTCACTACATCCTCTGAGTAGAAGAAAAGCCAATAGAAGAGCTTCAACAAGACAGTTGTGTACCTAAAGCCATTTTATAAATATAAAAAAATCTGAAGATAGTTTTGATGGATAGAATAAATATCTTTAAATATATATACCTGAAAAACAAGATGGTACCCAATGGCGCCCATGTCCTACTTCCTGGGCACTGAGGTTATGTTAGACAGCAAAAGGGACTTTCAACATATGATTAAGAATCTGAGGTGGGGAGATTTTCCTGGATTACCTGAATGGGCCCAATCTAATCATAAGGGTCCTCAAAATAAAGAGCATCTCCTGATTGTGGAACAAGGGAGAAATGACTACAGAAAAATGGTCAGACAGATGCAATACTGCTGGCTTTGAAGATGGCAGGAGGGAACCACAGCCAAGGAGTGCAGGTTCCGACAGAGGCTGGGAAAGGTAAATAACAATTACCCTACCAGGGTATTCTGCAGCCCACACCTTGAGCTTTAGTCTGGTGTGACCCATATCCACCCTCTGACCTACAGAATTGCAACATAATTTTGTGTGGCTTTAAGCCACTAACCTTGCTAAAGTTTGTAAACAGTAACAGGAGATTACTAAAGTAGTACAGCAGATGGCTGAAGGAGATCCTGAGAAAAGGAAAGGTAGGTGGGAATTAATTAGGATAATCCATTCCTGGAAGTGAGACAATTCCTGGATTAAATCAGAAGCCAGGACTGGCTGGAGAGAGATGGGCAATGGAGCTTCATCTACAAGTCTTCTCCCATGAATCTCGGCTCTGGCTATTTCAGAGGTCACACTGATTTGCAAGAGTAGGTGACATTCAAGTTTGTAAGGCAAAAAATGACCAAAGAAATAGTATCTTGGAAAAAAATGTAGGTCATCACTCTCCTTTTCTCTATGATCAATTTATCTGGTCACAAAAAGAGTGAGGTTAGAAATGCCTCCAAGAACAAGAATACTAATAAAGTCACAATGCGAGAATAAAATTGAGATGAAATGAGAGGTAATTCATTCCTGAGCTCCATAGAGAATTTCATGCATGATGTCACTGACACCCATCCAAATTCTATCACTGAACCATTATCACCATTTTAGGGGGTGAAGAAGTTGAGAAATTGTTATATTGTTCCACTTTTTCATTAGTTCTAATTATTTGTCCCTTACAGCCTTAAAAAAAAAAACCCTCTAGACTCTACATGGAAAATCTATTAGCAAAGGCCATCTTGTAATCAATTGAATACCATACAAAGTCAACTGGGACCTAAATGCACATCTGGCCTCATGCAAGAGCCAGGAGACCCGTCCCAACACTGTTTGTCCTAATCTTTCCAAAACTAAAGATTTTATTATTTTAATAAACATTCATTGAATGTACAGGCAGAAAAAATGACAAAAACCTAATTTCTATAATCTCATTAGTAACTAACTCCAGTCAGTTAACGTGATTAGGAAAATTTACCTTTCATCCAACACAACAAAAAAAAACCTGAAAATTTCAGGATTCAACACTTGTACCTTGTGGAAAGCCAAGTTCAGCCCACCCATTCCATTCCCCTGAACGTTTCTACTTTCAACAATGGCTTTTTAGTGTTAGATTCCTTCTAGAATCTAAGTAAGTTGTAAGTTATTTTGAAATTCTTAAAGAGCACCATGACTTTGATGTAATCGAGTTGTAAACAGAAACAGGTAAAAACACTAGATTTTGAAAAAGCTTGAAATCAAACCTGAATTTTACATATTTTGTTCCCTCTGAAAAAGCAGGCAACAGAATGCTGGTTAGAACAACAACTCTGGGGTTTCCTTGCCTGGATTTGAATCTCAGCTCTATCTCTTTTTAGGTTTGTAAGCTTGGGTTATTTAGACACTATGCCTCAGTTTCCCCATCTATGAATGGAGAACAATGATAGTATCTTCCTCATAGTGAGGAATAAATGAGTTAATACACGTGAACTGCTTAGAGCAATCCATGATGTATCGTGGTTAATGTTTGCTGTAATTAATGTGCTAATTTCTCTTTCCCATTAATTCAACCATCGTATGTGGTAGACTGAAAGATGACAATGTATAACTAACTATGTTAAGCATGAACACAGTGAACCCTGAAGGGCAGAAGGCATAGAGGTGGGAATTTCAGAACCCTGAAGCAGTGCTGGCAGAAAGGCTCAAGTGGCAGAGCACCTGCCTGGCGTGAGGCCCCCAGTTCAAATCTCAGTGCCACCAGAAAAACAAAACAAAACAAAAAACCCCAAAGCAATGGATCTTCCTCTCTGTGGTCAAGTAGCATAAACACAGATGAAAAATGTTACTTCGCAAACAGGATGGCTTCCAGCTATGTGTGTTACGTTACATTCCTTTTGAAAGTTCAGTATTTTTACTGGCTCCAGTCCTAGAGGCACAGATGTTGCTGGGGTTTTTCCATCACTCTGTACTGGAGCAGTCAACTTGCAGGAAGCCTTATCAAGGGGTTTGTTACATGGAGGTCTGTCACATGGAGGAGCAGGGAAAGGGGCCTCTCACACTCACAAGATACAGACTGCATGAGTTCACTTACTGCACACTTTTCTCACCAAAGAGATCACAGGAATGTTTTAAAGTACAAATAACTCTTAGACCTGAGTTACAATGCTATATCCCATGCAGAAAAAAAATATTATACCCTGAAAAGTCACCCAATATAAAAGAGAATTTGAAGAAGGCCTGAACTTGTTATATGCACAATCTGAAAAATAGTCTTGGGACCCTACCCAAATCTGAACTAACTACCCATCATCTCTTTGTCACTCTAGCATAAAAACACAGAAGTAATGATCTGTGGTCAGTGGAGCTCCAAGTGTTTGGCAGAGGTTACGGGCACTGGGATGAGAGAGTTCAAGACCACTTACTAGGTGGCAGAGCACTATTCATCAAGGTGAAGTCTTTGCATACAGACTTCCCAGAAACAATAAAATTTAACCATTCTAAATCAGCCCTTGTGAAGGGGTAAGTACCAGGCAGGAAGGCAGATCAGACATTTCTCAGACAGGCCAAACAATCTTGATCCACCCAAAAGCTGCTTCTCAGAATTCACCAACTATTTGTTTTTCTACCTGTCATGAAGCCCCTTTCCCCAACATACAACCTCTGCAAGCTTTCCACTGTGCCTGGGGCCACATGGTTCTACCATCTAAGCTGCTCCAAGTCCTTCCCCTCTTCATTCACTCTCCTCCTGCTCCCTGCCTTACCCAGACCTGACCCTCCCCACAAAAGCAGAGGACACTTCACTGAGCCCATGTCTGGAGGTAGTATTATTAGGTGTACATTTGAGACCTCACGGTACTTCTTACCTTTGTCTAATGCCATCTTTAAAATGTTGTTCACAAAATTCATGCCATTTGGCTACACTACCTTCTGCCCCCTCCCATCACGTTCCCTCCTTCATGGAAGACTTGAGCAACTGGCTCATGGAACTCCTCCTCTCTGTCCCAATCTTGCCATTATCCTGTCTTCAAAATCCCAGCACCAACCTATTGCACACCTCATCGTTCAGTTCCTTACTGCTCAATATCAAATGGCCTGCCACAGCTCACCCTTTCACTTCCTACTGCCATGGTTCAGCTGCAAGTCTCCCCACTCTAGAAACCCTCAACTTCAGAAACTCGAAGATAATTATCCTACGCACTTATCAGCATATATATCACTAAAGACTGCAACAACCCTCTTCAACTTCAGTGACTCTCTCTAGCCTTCTAATCCTAATTTCCTTCCCTGTCTTCACTACATTAAAGAGCAGGTGTGGCCCAGGGGGGATATCTAATCTGTTCTAAGTTTAAACTCTCTCATCCTATTATTTGACCTCTATGGGGGTTGGGGGAGGCACAGCAGATCAAAACAACAGTCTCCCTCCTCAAGCTTATAATTTAAAACATGATTCTGCCTTGGGATCATTCAAGGTGTCTGGTCAAATAGCACCCAACCTTTCTGTATACACTCACAGGACTCTGTAATGCCACATCTTACAATAATTACACCACTACTTTGTAATCCCTATGACTAATTCATCTTCCCAGTTCCCCAAGAATAAGACTTGATCTTCTGCTATTGTATCCAAGCACAAGACTCAGTATATGGTGACCACTAAATGATGTTAATCGAGACATATGGACAGATGTGAGCCTTAGAAGTTATACAAAGGGGACAGACAAAAAGAAAAGCCAATTCTCATTAATAATGGCCATTAGCAAAATATCATGGCAAGTAATACCCAAGGCACGTAAGAAATGACATAGATACTGATTTATATAGAATTTCAAAAGTTGCCTGACCAAACACATCATAATATAAATTTGGGCTACAAATTCAAAAACAAAAATTTAAGAAAAAAAATTAGGTAAAAAAGAGCAAAATCATTTTAAATTGATAATTTTTGAAATATGAGGAATAAATATTAGTTGAAAAATAGCTCAGTTTAAATGTCGAGAACTAACTCCCCCCTTAAGTCCAGAAGACAAAATATGTTAAAATCAATTGATCCTCTTAAGTGTAGAAAACACTATTTGTACTTCAGGTGAGAGCTAACCAATACCCAATAACAACAACAAAAAATCCAGAAGAACTACCTAAGGAGCTAAAATTTAAAGGTACTCTTTTTCCTAATTTAGGTTCATAGACAAACCTGAGCTTCCTAAATGTGGTATCTGCATGCCCACCCCCACCTCAATAAAAATAGAAAGGGTAAAAAACCAAACAAAAATAATAAAGTCAATAACGTTTTTCAGCATAGAAACATTTTACCTGCATGAGTTTGGTGTCGTGTCCAGTGTAAACAACTATGCCAAAGACCCACTGAGTATTTCTAAGCTGTGTACCTCTTAATAAGATCTGGTCAGGCCCAAGGGCAACAGGGCTAAAAATAAGAAACAACATTTACATTTAATGATAGTCTGACAAGCATGAGCTTCCCCCTTAAACAATAAATCAAATGCTTTTTTCAGTCAAATTTGAGCAATAAAGGTTACCCTTGGCTTAACATACCAGAAAAGGACCACAAAAAAAAAATGTCTGTTTCATCCATTCATCACTGAGAAAAAAACCAGGATTCTTTTTCTATAAAATATTAGAGGGAAGTATACCTCTTATAATCCTGTTACAAAAGAACACCCAGAAAGGAAGTTGCTAAAAGAACAATCAGAAGTTTATTCATTTCTGAAACTCAATTTGTTTTATAGACTATGATAAGGGGGAGAAAAGCAGCAAACTTCTCATATTATATTTGTCAGGGATGACTTAATGTTTAGATAAATGACGGAGTGATAACTTAGTAATATGAAACAGGGAGTAGAGTAAATGGAATGACTGGCTACCCATGCAAAATGACAACCAAAAAGTAGTCATACTTAGATACCATATGTGGCTTTGTTTGAGTGCTATAATTGGGTCCTTCCAAGATCTAGGTTGATTCCAATGCAATGGACAGCCCAGTAGGCTCTCAGAGGTACAGGAAGGAGGCATTCAGATAACAGATGGGCAACAATTAGAGACTACACCTACACTTGACAAAAGACGGCTCTCAGACGATGAAGCAAAAGCCAAAAGACTAGGACAACAGAATATGGACAATGGGGCACTGAACATTTTAAAGAAAGAGTAACTGTTCACTTAATTCAACTTTCTAAACAAACAGGGCTGGAGGTGTGGCTCAGTGGTAAGAGTACTTGCCTCTATTAAGCAAGGCCCTGGGTGTGATGCTTAGCACAGCAAAAACAAATAAAATAAAAACAAACCCTTTAGAAGAAAGCTAGCAAAAAAGGTATAAATTTCTCTCCCAAGTGTATCAGGTTGGACACACCTCAGACACCTCTCTTCTGATTTTTTACACCATTTTATTCAGCTAAAACCCCTTCTCCCGCCTGGCAGGTCTGGCACAGGAAGAACAGGCTACCTGCTGTGAACCTCTGAGGCCCTATGACTCTAGTCAAAAGTGGGAAGTTTTTTGTTGGTTTTCTTTGTGGGGGAGATGCTGACCTCAGGGCTTCACACTTGCTAGGCAGGCACTATACTACTTGAGCCACTATGCCAGCCCCTTAAGAGAAGTTTTAAATGGTTGAACAATCTCTCAGGGCTGAGCTAAATATGAAGAAACCTCACTATTTTCCAACACTATAAAATTAGGAAACATTTTCCAAAGCTCCAGGAATTCTTGGTCACATTTAGAAAAAGAAATTGAGAAAAGGAAGAGCTACCTTTTCCCATCCAGGTGCAAGGTGCCAGTGAAGTCATAGAGGTGGCGATTGGGTCCCTCACATTCTATAGTTCCAGACAGCTTCATCAACACTTCCCTTGTCTGCATGTCAGCAGTGTGGCTCAAACCCTAAAACATTAAAGCAATAGAGAAAATTGAACACGATCTTCTGTGTTTAAGAGACAGCAGTCAGCATTCCGTCAATCATAATGAGTCAATGGCAATGTGACATTTTGATAATCAAGTATAGGTCCCTTAAGCGGGCCTTTGCCAACAGCTTCTGCACAACAATCTCATGCAAAAATGTGAAGAAAAGATTTCAGTGTAGTAAAAGGTGCAGATTACATCCTTGTGCTGGGAACATCCAGGTTTAAGTAATAACTGACATACCCAAAAGCCTGACAGGAAGCACGCACTATTGGCTGTCCTCTAACACCAAAGCAGAAAATAGTACCTCTCTGATATTCTACTCTCTTCTTTTGGATTTTTAAAATGCTGTATTCTGAACATCTCCAAACACATGGAGAAACAGAATAGAACAACAAACCTCATTAACTCTTCTTTAAGCAGAAAAAAATTGTCTAGAGAAAATAGGTACAGGAGAAAAAAAAGCTATGTAGACAGAATTATTGAATTCAACTTTATACAACAGAAAGAGTTAAGTGTCCTAATGTTCAATATTTGTATACATTACAGACTATTATTCTTCATGTTAGGATAAAATGTACACTAAGAATAGTTTATTTAAGGAAAGGAAATACTGTATGTAATATAACCACTCTCCACAGCTAGATTCTCAATTCCAACAACCAGGTAAACTGAGGTTCCCAGGTACTGTCTACTCTGTGTGTCCACTACAGGTGTGCTCCTTCCCACTGCCCAGCTCAGACCAGCTTAGTAAGAATGTCCGCTATCTTTAGCATCCCAGGTAAGGAGCTCAGGAGGGTGGAACAAAGGCATGATACACTTTATGACCTACACTTTGATGAAGTCTATTTATTCTAGGTCCCCTACCTCTCTCAGTGAGTTCCCTCATTATCAAAGGTACATTCTTCCAGATTCCACTAGGGCTAACATGTAATCTTTTATAAGTAAAAAATTTATTTTTTCCCCCACAAAAGACACTGACTAGTACATGTGGAGGCCCTATTTGCTACTTGGGCCTCTATTAACAACTTCAGCCATAAAGGTGACTTTACCTGACGTATTTTAAGGTTTGTTTCTCCATCTAGATTAGCTGTTTCCACATAGCACATTGCCTGAGGTTCACTAAGAAGAAAGGAAAAAAAAGGGTCAAGTTTAGTAACATCCTTTCCACCTATTAATAGGTCATAAAATCTCTATTATGGGAACTGCTAGTGGGCCCTTCAAATGCATCGTCATAAACAACCACTTTAGTGGCAGTAATGGATGAGATAGGAAGATGCACGTTCATCTTTGGTATTCAACACCAGTACAAAGTTGTTTTCCCAAATAATCCACTCTCACAGTCCCCATATAATGACCACTTAGCCTCAAGCAGACAGAAACGACAGAGAGTGAACACATAAGGTTCCAGCTAAGACCCAGCCTCTGGGGTGGGGAGATTCTTGAAGGCTGAAGCCCAGCCTGCACCTGACCAAAAGAGCTGCTCTAGGCACACCCAGCACAAACATGCCTTTTAAAGAAAAAGAGTTGAAGCATCAAGGCGTAAGTTTGGCAAGCCTTTGCTTCCCTGAAAGTTGTTACAATGTCAAAAGGCATTCTTTATTGAAAACACCTAATCTTCAGGACAGAATACTCAAACAGTAAAAATAAGAAAGCAGATTCTGTATTCCTACTTCCAGCCTTCTGGTTTAGGTTAGTTGGTGTAGTAAATGGCTAAGAGAACAGACTCTGAAACACACTGGCTAAGCTGAAATCCCCTAGAGTACTATGTTCAGGGGCCACATGGCCTTGAAAAATTGTTTGATCACTCTGTGCCTTGGTTTTCTCATGCATTAATGAAGGATATCATGGGTTGTTTGGAAGATTAAGTGGGATAATGTATTCAGCAGGCTGCACAATGCAAAGCATACTCTCAGATACTGTGAACAACCTCAAAATAAGATGTCAGCTCAGACAAACAATCCCATATCAAAACCAAATAACCATAACCAAACATCAAGAAATTTATATTTTTAGATTTCTGAGAATTTCTATGATACCAATCAATAGGGTAATGCAAGAATCCCCCCATGTTTATGGTGCTTTTCCCCCTTCATAGGCCGTGGGTCCTAGTTTTAAACCTTCGTAGCAGAAAATTAATACTAAGCTTGAAACCTAATGAATAATCAAACACAACAGAAGAAACACTGCCTGTGATCGAAGAAAATGCAAACTGTGTAAGTTTCTGTGATTCTCAGTAACACTTCAATATAGTGGTCTCATATAACATAATCTTGAACTCCAGAACAGAAGTTACTCCTACCCTGATTGTAGCTTTCCTTCTTTGCTATGTACTTTTTATACATCAAGCAAAGAAGGGCAAGGCAGGTGTTGTTCCCTTACAAGTGCTGATACCTTTTTCTAGCATAAAACTATCTAGAACATGGCCATGGTATTTGGGCAGAAAGAGGGTGAAATGTGGACGAATGAAGATCAACATCACCTGCAGGCTAAGGTCAGATCTGTGCTGAGAAAACACCCGTGTTTCTCTGAACAGCTGCTCAAGGACAGACTGACTTCTGCAGGACAGACTGCTGGCTGGACCCAGTCTGACACTGGTGCTGAATCTCAGATACACTGCAACCTGGATGCTATTGAACCTTCATTCCACTGTCCTTGAATCAGCATCCCTTTCTATGAGGAAAACCTCAGAACGGCCTGGCAACTAAAGGAGTTGATACCAGTAAAGGGAATTCAGAAAAAGTCTAAAAGAATGAGTGGGAGGAAGAAAATCAAGGGTCAAGATAAGAGAAGGCAACTGACCAAAGTACAGGTTGAGCACCCTTTATCTAAAATGCTTGAAACCAGAAGTGTTTTGGATCTGTCACTGCTTTGGATTTCAGAATATTTGCACAGACAGCTCAGCATTCTAATCTCAAAATCTGAAATTCAAAATGCTCCAGAATCTGAAACTATCATTAGTTCAGGATGCTCAACTTGCAATGGGAGACTAGGACAGTGAGAGGAGGATGGGGACTCACAGGGTAAAAGTGAAAAGCTGGCTCAAGATTTCTGCAATTGTCACTTAAAATATTGCATTATTCTTAGCATTCATTTCCAAAGCTGTGCCCACTAGCACACCTGACCTGGAGGAGAACAGGACCATGTCAGCTGGAAGATACTGCCCATTGAGGACCTTCACGATGTCACCCACTGCCACCTAGAGACCAAGGACAGGGACAGAGAGGCATGAAAGAAAAGAAAGCACAAATGTGGTAAGGGTGGTTAAATATGTGAAGAAGAATATTAGTACATAACAAAGCTATACCTGGACAAGAACAACAGGAAAATGCTTCTATACGCTCAACCTGCAATACAGTCAGCCCTGTGGATCCACGGATTCCACATCCACAGGTCCAGACAACCAAGGATCCAAAACATTTGAAAAGAAAAACTATATCTGCACCCAGCATGTACAGACATTTTTCTTGTCATTATTCCCTAAACAATACATCATAACACTTGTCCCATATTATTATGTCATGTAGGTATGATTTAAAGTGCACGGGACAAACATTCTATGCAAATGCTAATGCTACACTGTTTTATAAAGGGGACTTGATACTTTTGGTATATGTGGGTATCCTGGCACCAATTCCTATAGATACTGAGAGGTGACTGAACTGTCTGCAGTGACATTTCATGAAAAGAAAAAAAGGGAGAAGGAGAAAAAGATGAGTGAATGACTACAGAGGTTACATTTTCTTCCAATTGTCCATCCACCTGCAAATATTCAAACACTGCCAGAGCGGCATGTAGAGGGACAGGGTTATGCACACAGCTCTGCACTGGCCTACAAATCTGACTGCTTTGTAAGCATGAGGGAGTTATGGACATTGCATGCCTCATCTTTCTCGTCTGTACAAGAAGGATAATAGCAGAGTTCAAGGGACTGCTGAGAGGATCAACTGAGTTAACAGAAATTTTTCTTTTTTACAAATGGGGAAACCAAGGCTCATGGCAAAATTACTTGACCAAGGTCACACAGTCAGTGTGTTAGAGCCAGGATTCAAGCTTGGGTCATTTGACAACAGGCCAGTACCCTGACCATATACCAAATTCACCCATGAGCACAGCATCTGAAAGACCGTCCAGAAATACATGACATGAAACACCACATAAAACATTTGTGCAGCCTTAAATTGACAGCAAAAGCATTATGATCAAAATCAGAGACCATCTGACAACCAGATTCCAAAAGACAGAAGATGACAAGCCAATGAAACAGGATGCAGTCTCCAAACATGCACTATGGTCAAGAGCCTGCAAATGCTTTAAGTAGCAGGGCAGGAAGTGCCAGCTTGAGAGAATGTGGCTTCAAATCGGGCAAGCACAGGCAGGAATCCTGGCCTTGCAGACACGTGACTTGCAAGCTGCTTTCCCTCCCAGTGCTCTGAGGCCCTCGCTTCCAAAACAGGAAACAATGGAGGCTTATGAAAGCAGTGATGAGGAAGTACAGACAGCCCTGGCAGGGAACGGGTGTGTGAGCATCATCTCTCTCAGCATGAGTGACCGAAGGGACACTGTAGAATTCTCTGACACAGGAAGAGCATTCCTACTGCAGTAATAATTGCCAAATGCTAAATAGGCACTTAGGTCTTCCGGTTCCTGTTCTAACCATATTACCATCCTCTAAGAAACCCAGAACTTCAAATTATAAGACACTTGTGAAAAAGTACTGGATCATATAAGCCAGCAGGTGCCCGGTTTAATTTTGTGTTGGGGGCTGGTGTTGTGAACCAGTGCTGGAGAATTGCCCAGGATGTGCAAGGCCTGGGTTCCATCCCCAGCATCACCACCACCACAACAGACAAACAAAAACACTAATTTTCTGTTGGAGAAGGGAGGGCTTTCAAAAGCTGTCATGTTCGTGCTGGCTCAACACTGAAGAATGGCAGAAGTTAAATTCCAGAACCACAGTGCATTTGAAGTTAGTACCCAAATCAAAGGCACAAGTTAGTAACAAATTTAAAGGCACATAATCAAAGCATGTGCGATAATAAAGAAAAGATAAATAAATGCTGCAGGACTATTTTAACAAACATCAGTACAAAAACAAGAGATACTTATGCAAGTCAAAAATGTTTTTTAAGCCAGTGCACAGGCCTATAATCCCAGCTACTCAGGAGGTAGAAATCCAAAAGTTAGCAAGACTTCATCTCAACAAATAAGCTGGGCGTGGTGGTTCATGCCTGTGATCCAAGCTAGGTGGAGACATAGACAGCAGGATTGCAGTCTAATGCCGGCCCTGGACAAAATCGCAAGACCATAGCTGAAAAATAAAGCAAAAAAGCACTGGGAGCATGGTTCAAGTGGTAGTGCACTTGCCTAGCAAGAGTGAGGCCCTGAGCTCAAACCCCAGAACCACAAAAAGAAAAGTATTTTTTTAAAAAGCAAAAATATTTTATATGAATAGTTTGTATAGAAAAAAATCAGTATTAGTTCCTCTGGAGTGGGGACATCAAACGCTTTCATGTTTTGGGTTTTCTACCTATTCCTGTATCTTCCATATGTGCTCTCCCCTTGTCATGTGATCCAAGTCCAACCACATTGCTGCTTTTGTCCTAGATCTAAAGTCTGCATATGAGGGAGAACATATGATTTTTGGTCTTCTGAGCCTGGCTGACCTCACTCAGGATGATGTTCTCCAGTTCCATCCATTTACCTGAAAATGATAAGATTTCATTCTTCTTCATGGCTGAGTAAAATTCCATTGTGTACAAGTACACATTTTCTTGATCCATTTGTCAGCAGTGGGACATCTTGGCTGTTTCCATAACTTGGCTGTTGTGAATAGTGCTACAATAAACATGGGTGTGCAGGTGCCTCTGGAGTAACCTGTGTCTCATTCCTTTGGGTATATCCCCAGGAGTGGGATTGCTGGATCATATGGTAGATCTATGTTAAGATTTTTGAGAAGTCTCCAATTTTTTTTCCAGAGTGGTTGCACTAGCTTGCATTCCCACCAGCAGTGTATGAGGGTTCCTTTTTCTCCACATCCTCACCAAAACCTGTTGTTGGTGGTGTTTTTGATGATGGCTATTCTAACAGGGGTGAGGTGGAATCTTAGTGTGGTTTTGATTTGCATTTCTTTTATGGCCACAGATGGTGAGGATTTTTTCATGTGTTTTTTGGCCATTTGAATTTCTTCTTTTGAAAAAGTTCTATTTAGTTCAGTTGCCCATTTCTTAATTGGTTCATTGATTTTAGGAGAGTTTAGTTTCTTAACTTGCCTGTATATTCTGGTTATCAGTCCCTTGTCTGATGTATAGCTGGCAAATATTTTCTCCCAATCTGTGGGTGGTCTTTTCAGTTTAGAGACCATTTCTTTTGTTGTGCAGAAGCTTTTTAATTTTATGAAGTCCCATTTATTCATCCTTTCTCTTAGTTGCTGGGCTGCTGCGGTTCTATTGAGGAAGTCTTTGCCTATACCTATTTGTTCCAGAGTGTTTCCTGCTCCTTCCTGTACTAACTTCAGAGTTTCAGGTCTGATATTTAGGTCCTTGATCCATTTTGAGTTGATACTAGTACAGGGTGATAGACATGGATCTAGTTTCAGTTTCTTGCAGACGGGTAACCACTTTCCCAACAACATTTGTTGAAGAGGCTGTCTTTTCTCCATCATATATTTTTGGCACCTTTGTCAAAAATGAGGTGGGACAGTTGTGTGGATTCATATCTGTGTCCTCTATTCTATTCCACTGGTCTTCATGTCTGTTTTTGTGCCAGTACTGGTCTTCATGTCTGTTTTTGTGCCAGTACCATGTTTTTTTATTGCTACTGCTTTGTAATATAGTTTGAAGAAGATCAGTTAAAGTTGAATCAACATGGGTGGTAACACATGGGTACATGAAAGCAATAGTAGGAGTCTCTCCATAGCTATCCTTAACTCAACTAGCAAAAATGCTTTGTCTTCCTTATTATGCTTATGTTATTTCTTCAACAAAATTAGTGATAAGAGCAGAACAGGACCTGCCTGGATCTGAGGGCAGGAGGGGGGGAAGGGGAGGGAGGGGAGAAAGGGTGGGGAAGGGGGGCAGGGTGGAGAAATGACTCAAACAATGTATGCACATGTGAATAAATGAAAAAAAATAGTACCTTTAAAAGAATAAAGTAAAAAAAAAAAAGAAAAAAATCAGAAGAAGCAATTATTTAAAAGAACTAGAAAGAAGAGTAATCCTTTTAAACAAAAAAGTGCATTTTTCCCTGATTCAAAGTGAAAGACAAAGAAATTAAGGCTTTCTTTCACCTTTACTTTCTAAATAAAGAAACACTATTTTTTTTTTTGTGGTACTGGGGATTGAAATAAAGAAACATTTGTATCTCAGGAGCCAGGTACCAAGTGTTTTCATGTGCATTAGAAACTGCTTACATGGCTTTTGCTGAAAGATGGTTTTCTACCTGATATTCCTACACATGACTATCCCTTGTGTATGTGGTGCTATCTGAAAAATCTTACCACCATGGGAAAGAAACCCTTCCAGGTCCCTAAATTCACTCTAGCCTCAGAGGAAGCTACTACTTGAGTCTCTAACTGTGAAGCAGCTGAAGGGCCCTCCAAAATCCATCCAGCCATAGAGACACCCCACCCTCCGTTGCTGACATATTATCTTCCACCCCAGGAGGCACTGCTCATAGTTACTCAGCTGAGTGTGCCTTGCCCCAGCACCTCGTGGTTTCACACCCTCTGTTTTGAACAACATCTGCTCAGAAAGCCTGATCCAGTGACTCTGGATCCAGTATCCCTCCCAGATGTCCCCAGGCACTTGCAGCACACCCTTGCAGAGCTCAGCAGGTGCACTGCATTACAGTGAGCTGCCCATCTCCTCCACCACAGCAGTTTTTTGTTTCTTTGGGTGGTTATTAGGTTGAGTGCGTGTGTGCATGTGTGCGTGTGTATTACTGTGGTTTGAACTCAGGGCCTTGTGCCTGCTCGGCAGGTGCACCACCACTGGAGTCATACTCCCAACCTCTTATACTTTAGGGTCTCCTGTTTTTGCCTGGGGCTGGGATCAGAAAGCAGTCCTACTACCTATGCCTCCTAGTAGCTAGGATTGTAGACACCACAATGCCCTGACTATTCATTGAGATGGGGGTCTCACTAACTTTTGTGGGGGGTTTTGCTTGTTTGTTTTTGATCTGGACTGATAGCATACCACAATCTCTACCTCCCAAGTAGGTAGGATTACAGGTGTGACCCACCACACTGGTTCTTGAACATGCTCCTCACATCACTAAGCAGCAGGCTCTCTTGCACACTTGTTAAACATGCAAGTTCTATTGCCTACCCCAAACCCACTAAATCAGAAATTCTGAGAGTGGGGCCCATTAGTGTTTGATCAGTTCCCCAGGTGAGTGGAACGCCTGCTCAGGTGTAAGGACTGCTACATGACAAGTCTGGGTAAGGGCAGGGGCCTGCTTTATTTTGAATCCAATGTAAGGCACAGTCTCTGGTACATGCTCAGGGCCCACTTATATAAGCACACTAAATGCATTTTAGGTTTAAATAAAAGTGTACTTGGCAAGGTATGTAACAGGTCTGCTGGTGTTCTCCCAAGTATGGGTGGGAAACAGTAATGGGTCTGAGGAGGCTTTAAGGCCATCAATCCTGGACCAAGAAATCAGTGATCATATCTCACTGCCACTGTTTGAAGCTGTGACTGCAAGTATAGGACTTCCCACTGGCTACAGGGTAAAAGGGGGGGGGTGACTTCCTTAACCAGCTAATGGTTCTCCTAAAACCCAAAGTGAATGCTGCAGTTTCCACTGTATCAGAGGGATTGTTTCAGACATAAAAGGCCATATTAAAACAAAGACAATGTTAAAAATTGTCTGCTAAATGTCAAAGCAAGAAAATGTATTTTAAGTTACCCTACTGAAAGGTTATTTTGTTTTTTAATCATGAGCTCTGAATGCTGATCTAATGAGAAGTATCCCTAAAACATATCTTGGGTACATTAAGCAGGCTCAGCTAAAACAGTCTAACATAAAAAGATAGTTTTATCAGATAGAAAGTACCGAGATGGCACAGCAGGTTTCTTTTAAATTTCCCATTTACCAGTACAAACAAGCAAACACCACAATTCATTCTGACCCCCAGACCTCACGCTTCTCAACATGGAGGAAAAGCCTTTCTTGCTACCTCTGCAATGAGCACCACTATTCCTCATGCTAACCCCTCCCCACCCCCACAGAGAGGCGGGCTTCCCTACTGGACCCTACATGCAGTGCTAATCTTGCCACCAAAAAGACCACAAGTGAGAAGGTCAAAGGTTAAAAACAACAAGAACAACATTAAACACCTGAACTGAGTTTAAGAGAAAACAGAAGACCGGGTAAAATGTTTCCCACGTTGGGTTTAGAAAGTTGAAAAGGCTTTGAGATTTTAAACTCCATTAGGAGCAATGAAGTCCACAGCTTGAACCACCAAGCTGGGTGCATTCTAGAAGAGGCCACAGTGAAGAAACCTACATTAATGCTGAGTAGATCCCATGGGAAACTTACATAAATGGACATGAGCTAGGGCTTAGCACAAACTTTATACTGTCATCAACACAGCAATTCATTGCAATCCTCCAAACCAATTCTCTGATATTATGTTCAAATTAGTTCTTACCTCTTTCCACACAATGGTGTGCCACATACCATTCCTTAACACTGTAAAAAGAAAAGAAATGAACTAATTAATACTGGTCATAATCAAAAAACAGCCAGTTTCCTAAAAATGCAAAGGCTCCTCTACAACTTGCATTTCTTATCGCTACCAAAACTTATATAATAACAACACTCCCAAAATGGAGCCTCAATCTCTACACCTCTGTAAGTCAATGTCTGAGTATGCATGTAAATAAAACCATTCATAACCATTTTAGAAGCAGCAAAAAACCTGATGTCAGACTACTGCAACAACAGAGCTAATATAAAACCCAAAACAATAAAAAAGAAAATTGGAAAAAAAGAAGTAAGGAGGGACTATGAACCAAAGATATGAATGCTCGGAACATTTACAGACTTTACAGCTGTCTAGTAGCTCCTGAAATTCACAACGTCCTACAATTCTAAAAGTACACAAACCCTGTTCAGATCTGTTCAGATCCTGTTCAAGTTATCAAGACTAACATTTTGTTTATTATTTTACTGTTCTTCAAAGTCTTTTGTAGGTTATTTTCCAACTTATCTCAATACCATTAACTACTTATTTAGAATTCCTTGAAGGCAGGACTTACTCTTCAGTTTGTAATGGAAAAAGTAGTTTCTTACCGATTGTTTTCTTTTTGTTAACTGCATTATCTGCCTTATGTCGTTTCTGTTTCAGAAAGAAAACAAAGGTTCTTACATTCAAAAGATCCAAATGAATAATTGAAATGGCAAACAATAGATATGTTAAGACGAGAGATTGGACTGTAGTGTAGCTGGCCCCTAGACTAGTGATGGTACTTCTTTTGGGGATGGGCATTCAGACTTGTCTCGAACATCTATACAGAGGCTCTGAAGCAGTTCTAACTTTGTTGGATTGTTTGGTTTTTGACTTAGAGTTTTATCTTTGTTGTTTCTTATATCCTACTTTAGGCTTGCTAATTTGGGTAGTAAATGAAGTGTTACAGTGTGGCAGCATAGATTGGGAGGCCAAGAAACTACAGTACTATAAAATTCAGCTTCACGGTCTTGGGATGCACTATTGTTGAGTAAATTCAAGCGTAGGATCCTCAGGCTTGACTAATTATGATTTAGTCAATGATTAGTTCTAATCACCAACAAGCACTTAAAGTATGAACTGCTCACTTCTCATTTATTTGTGAGCAGACTATGATAAAACCCAGCAACAAACTGATTTCATTTTCAATTGACATTAATTTACTTACCTATCCCAAAAAGGTGTATATGTGTGTAAGAGAGCAAGTGTGTATATGTGCGTGAGGGAAAGGAGAGCAAGAGACAGACTAGGAACACAGTTGCAACCAATGAACCTGGAGATGCCCCAGGGTAAGTGTGAAGAGGAAAATTCTTGTAAAATTACTTCATGCATAGCAAGGTCAATGCTGCCACACTGTAACACTTCATTTACTACCCAAATTAGCAAGCCTAAAGTAGGAAATAAGAAACAACAAAGATAAAACTCTAAGTCAAAAACCAAACAATCCAACAAAGTTAGAACTGCTTCAGAGCCTCTGTATAGATGTTCGAGACAAGTCTGAATGCCCATCCCCAAAAGAAGTACCATCACTAGTCTAGGGGCCAGCTACACTACAGTCCAATCTCTCATCTTAACATATCATCCAAGGTAAGATATACACTACAGATTATAGACCAGACAATGTTTTTAGTATCCAAAGCAAAAACTTACAAAATCTTCTACAATCTCTTTGATGCCTGCGATTGTTAAAATAATGATCAATGGCACCAGGGTGGTGTATCTTCCTGTTGGAGACACATCTGGAATTTGCTGTAAAAGACAAGAAGATGGAAGATGGCACATGAAAATGCTCTCCATGGAAAAGAAAACACAGCATTCAATGCTCATTCTCTCTCAGTTCTGTTCCATTTCTGTTGCACAAAAAATGATTGCCATATTTTTAAAGCTAGCTATTTTACATTTTTAAATTTTTTTATCCAACATTGGCCAGAATTTAGAAAAAGGGTTTCAAGTTTGACTCCCTTAGAACCATTTTTCTATACCACTTTTAGTAACTGCAATTTTCCCTAAGGCAATATCAAAAATAAGTCTTTTTATACAAGGAGCATGTTTGTTCACATTAGCAATGATTTAAATGAGGGAAAAATATAAGCGAATATTTTAACACTTATCCAGTTAAGGAACCTGTCAAGCAAAATCTCATTTTGCATGTCATTGAGGCTGCAAATTTTAAATGACTTTTTAAAAAAGACTTTACCTGTAATAAGGCAATGAAGAGGAAGAAGGCATTTGCAGCTCTTCGAATCTGCTCGTATAAGAATCGAGGTAGAAATGTCAACACGCTATACTTGGCTGTACTGTAAGTGCAAAGAAAATACTACTATCAGTTATAGTAGCAAAAACAGTAACAAAACAAAAAGCTTCAAATCGCAGGACAAGAAAACTGCTGTATGGCCTTCTCCTCCAGAGCTGTATTTTGTAGATGGGCACACCTGGTCAGAGGCGCTCCCAGAGAGACCTCTGTATACAGACTGTGATGTGCGTGCACTCACCCTTCCTCCCATGGAGGAGCCAAGTGCACTCTGCGAACAATACACCTGTGCACAACAATGCAACATGTCCCTCGGGACTGTACCCGATGCTTCATGTTCCACCACATCCAGATACATCCCAGTCCTTCTGTGCACTCTAAAGTTGGCCACCTTGCCTCAGACCCTTATTTCCCCTCACCCTCCTCTCCCTTCTGCCCTGCAGGTTTTTCTTTCTCATCTGCTCCCATTGAGTTTGGTCAAATTCATAATGACCCCCTCTTCCTTCCAGCCCATGGCACAGTCTCCATACCTACACCGTACTGCCTCTGCTTTGATTCACATTATACAGTTGGCCTCCATAGCTGCAGGATTGAATCTGCATCCACAGAGTCAAGTATTTGGAAGAAAAGAAAACTGAACCTGTACTAAACATATGCAGACTTTCTCTGGTCATTATTCCCCAAATAATCAGCAGAACAACTACTTCCATAGTATTTTCATTGCACTGTACATTGTAAGTCATCTAGAGATGATTCAAAGTATACAAGATGTGCACAGGTTATATGCAAACAAGACAGCATGTTATACAAGGGACTTGAGTGTCCACGAATCTTGATATCCGAGAGGGTCCTGGAACAAATCCTCCATGGGAATGGAGGGATGACTGTTTATCTCTCTATATCCACATCAGATTAAGAGAACATCCAGAATGTTCACTTCAACAGCATATGATCCTAGCCTACAGCACACAGCAGTCAATGAACAACAAAATAAACCAAAGACACAAACTGAGCCTATGGGGTAAAATAAATCATATGACCCTACACCACTTACAGTTTTAGCCAAGTACCTATATGACTCCTGGCCTTCTCTCTGAAGGCATGACTTCAGAAGGCCTATTGTTTTCTTTTTAATTATTTTTTTAGCGGACCTGATGTTTGAACTCAGAGTTTCTTACTTGCAAAGCAGGTGCTCTACCCCCTGAGCTACACCTCCAGTTCTTCCTGCTCTGATTTCGGAAATGGGGTCTCACCAGTCAGGTTACCTGATCTCAGTTGGCCAAGTAGCTAGGATTACAGGCATGAGCCACTCACATCCAACTGAACCTATTCTTAATTGAAACATTTTCTAGCAAGATTATTAGCAGGTCCAAATGCACCACGAATTGGAAGCATTAAAACAGAGAGCTAAGGGCTTAGCAGACAGTATATGGCAGGGGCATGTGCTGTAAGAACAGACAGCAATCAATCCCAGAAAAACAAAATAAAGCTGACAGCTCAAAAATACAGCAGCCTGGGGTGACTTTGATACCGGATCACTGATCCTGAGTTCAGGTCTGGACAAAGTTGATGATTGAAGATGCCTAAGCAGGACTTAAAAGAGTAAAGCAAGCTCAAGGTTTATTGAAAGGATAGCAAAGCTCCCTACACAGGCGGGGCTTAGTGAAAAAGGCTAAGGTGTAGTGTAGCTGAACTCTAGGAGTGATATAGGGCTCTGCCTGGCTTAGATCCAACTCTTCTATCTTGAAACTACATTTGTGTACTAGTCAACTTCACACCAAACCCAGCCACCTGCCCATCCCTATCCTGATCAAACACAGTATTCCAAGAAGGTCAGGTCAGTTCAACCTGGCCTTGGGGGCCACCACCCACATCCTGCAGCTGCCTTCTGTTATCTTGGTAAGGGGTTTGTTACTTCTCTGAGAAGCCTGTTGTTTCTCATGCTCCTTCAGATGTCTGCTTCTAAAATGCCCCTCTCATCCAAAATGGAGTCCCCAATGTCATTCATTCCCCTCTCAATTTGATGGAGCAAGAAATAGCCCCATGCACTGCTGCCTTGAGAAAATCATCCCCACATACAGCAGGCCAATATTCCAGAATATCCAGTGGTCAGTGGTCATTAAAGACAAAATCATTGTTAGCCCTCTTCTGCTGAGGTGCTGAAAACGTTTAATAAATTATATGAAACCCACTTTCAAAATTCAAACTTTAAAACCTGATGAATGAAAGGATTCCCACTGACCGAACTAGAGAACTTGCTTACATGAGTCCCCTTTATGTATGTCACCTGATGATGGTACACTAGGACACCACTGTACATTCTGCCAGACAGAATAAATTAGCTGATAATAAGCTCATTAAAGAATAGGAAAATACAGCCAATTTATGTGCCCAACAGCTTATGACATGCAATGTTTTCTTAACCACAGCTTAGAGGACAAAATCAAACAGAATATCATGCATCCCTTCACGGCAGTGTTGACTGTGAAACAGAGCAGCTATCAGAGTAAAGGACACATAGAGGTTCGCACGCCAGAAGACTGAAAGTACCTCACAAGGGACTGACTGCAACATGTGAACAAAGAGCCCACCTGTGTAGCACACACTCTCACAGAGAATGTGACAGTAAGCCCAAGTGGACATGTAGGGACACCTAGATACAACCGCCTACTCTCCCTATAAACCCTTTCCTCTATCTGCCCAACAAAAGGGGATATTCAGTATTTACTGAAAGAGGGGGGGCCCTTGTGCCCCCCTCCACACGATGCTGACTGGGTGGGCTAGGCCCACAGTCTGACCTGCTCTGCAAACTCCACCTTCTACCAGCTCCCTGTAAGACACCATCTGCTCTCCCTACCACACTCACTCTGCAAGGAGCTCCAGATTAGTGGAATTTCAGGAAAAGATGCTAATACTCAATGTCTTCAGAACGTTGTTGACAGGTAAATTCATGTATTTTATTAAATGTATTTACTGACTTATTCCGCAGTGCTCGAGGTGGAACTCTGGGCTCCCCACATTCTAGACAAGCTGACACTGAGCCCCACCCCAGCCCTAAACAGTTCAGTTCACTGATCCCTTCAGAATGCCTTACCCCAACTCCTGGGGAAGAGCAAGAGCAGGACCCTAAATGCAAAGGCTATGTGGGTGACCCCTGCCACACGTATTGATGAGAGACGTCATCTGCACACCCAAGAGCCACCCGAGATGACATTTCACTGGACAGCAAGACCCATGGCCACCCCATCAGGCACTAACGTCTAGATTAATATTCTGGGAATCTCCCTGAATACGTGAATTTGTACTGATGAATGGGGCTCATCAGTGTTAAGATATTATCTCCTTACCAGAAATTTTCACTTGATTTTACCCATGCTACTGAAGTCTCACTGATTATAAATAAAAGGTCAATAAGTTCTATTTTCCTATTTCTTAATCCACAGAGGGGAAGAATTGCCAGCTACTACCTTATCTCCTAGCATGTCCCCGAAAGGCAGTAATTGAGCAGGGCCAGCGCTACTGGTGCTGTTAAGTCTTTATAGTCCTGGATTCTAGCTCACATATGCTTTTTAACCTACTCATTATAAAACACATTCAGTGAGAAAAATGGGATAGACTGCTAATCAATCAACTTTGTAACACACCTTGAATGTTAAGTTGGTGACACAGAAATTATACCTACAATTCCTGCTACTTAGTGAGTGCTCTATTCTTACTGGGTTTCCAAATTTGCTCTATTACTCAATGCATTTATTCAATAAGTGACTCTGGATCTGAAGCACTTTACCTCAACATTTCCATGGCAACATGGACTAAGAAGCAGATAATACTGTGACCACTGAGCATGCTGCCAGCTCATCTCTAGAGCCAACAAGTGGATAGCCAATGACAGTGCAAGGCATCAGATATTTAAATGTGACATCAGTAAAAAATGGTAGGGGGGTTGTTTGCTTGCTTGTTTTGCAGTTGGTGCTGGAGCTTGAACTCAGGACCTTACACCTGCTAGGCAGGCACTCTACCACTTGAGCCACTCCACCAGACTTTTTGAGTTGGTTATTTTTGAGATAGAGTCTCACTTTATGCCCGGGCTGCCTGAACTGTGATTTTCCTATTTGTGTTTCCCAGCATATCTGGGATGACAGGTACGCACCACTGCAACCAGCCACTGATTAAAATGGGGGTTTACAAACTTTTTGCCCATGATCCTCCCTATCTCTGCCTCCCACAGAGCCAGGATTACAGGCTTGAGCTACTGCACCCAACTGAAAAGTAGGTTTTATTCAAATGTTTCAAAGAAAAATGAGAACTTTATGATATAAAATCAAACAAAAATGAATAATGAGATTTACTTAATTTTGCACTGCTGGGCTCAAAGATCACTTCAAATGAGGATCCTTTTCACTAAGGAATCTTTTTCCAATAAAAACAAACAACATGTATTTGTTGTGACAATATCTGGCCTAATGGCCAACAAGGACAGTATCATCACAATTCAGGCCCCATTCACCACTGCTTTAAAAGAAAAGCAAGCACAACATGCCAAGGTATGGAATCCTAATACAAGTATAGTATCCCTAATATGAAAACCCCTAAATCAGAAATGCTACAACATCCAAGGTTTTGGCGGGGGGGTGGCTTTGAGCAATGCCATGATAATTATTGGATTTTGGAGAGTTTTGGATTTTGGATTTTTAGATTAAGGATGCTGAGCTGGTAACATCAATGCAAATATTCCAAAATCCAAAACCTCTGAACTAGGAAACACTTCTGGTCCCAAGCATTTGAAACAAGGGACACTCAACCTGTACTACGATACACTGCATTTAATTCCCTCTCCTTTGGCCCATCACTCTGAATTTAATATATTTTTTTCAAGCAGAGAGAAATAGACCTTAACAAAAGGAAAAGTTTAAGGTTGTCCTAGAGTTCACATGCTACAAATCAGGTGAGCTAGTGCAGAACTTGGAAATAAGTTATTCCAGCTACAATGCTGGCCCCTCCTACACACACGCTGCCCACCTCAGCTGAGGGTCTAGCCGGGCACAG